GGTCAGTAACTTTCTCTGGTTACAAATATATTGTTCCAGACAGGAAAAATAAGTTTCCAAGGCTGTTTGTTAAATACAGGAGCTTGTTAGACTGCACTAGTTCCTGTGAGCAGACAGAGTTTTTGATAAGCTCAAGAGGGGCCTAATGCTGGTGTTGTTTGTCAAGGCTGAGACCTAATGAGCATTTCTGAGATCATAGTGTGGCCTGAGGGGAAGGCAGCAGGGGGATGCTCCACCACACTTACTTAATGGTTTCTGCTTACTGCATAAGACAGACATGCTAAAAACATACATTTAAAGAAATGAAAATGGGATTGACATGTAACTTTCAATTACTTTTCTTGGCCCTGGGAGAAAATCTTTATCTTCACTTTAACAGTAGTCATTGTCAAAAGAAAAAAGAGCAATAATATTGGAAAGGAAAAATTAATTTTTAACTGACATAAAAATCTGTTTGCTTATTTTCCAACTTGTTTTTTAAATAATATTGTAGCAATATTGGGAAAGAAATAATGGCTTCTACTGTGTTTTAAATATTTTAAGTTTGTAAGCTGATACGAGAAATTACTTGGTACTGTGTAATTTAACTGTATGAGCAGAATAACCTGCTCTGAGAGATGATGTGAACTTTGTAATAATTTATGCTGTCTGTTAAGAAGTTTTTTTTCTGAAGTAAGATACACGATTTTTAAATCAAGGGAAATCTTGCTGCAGGCACAGCTGTTAGAACTGAGCCTTTTCTAAATTAGTAAGGAATGGTATACCTCTAAGACTACTGGATTAGCCTCTAAGGAGCATGAAAGGCAGAAGCAGTACTTCTCAAACACTAAACAAAACGCATTTCCTCCCCTCAAATGCTCACCTTCCCCCCATCACTGGAAGTAATATTCCTGTCAGACATACAAAACCATGCAGTCCCAGAATGAAAAGACAGATAATTGGATGCAGGCATATGAGTCGATACAATTAATTTCTACTCATTTCCCTTACTCCTTATTTGCATCACCAAAGATAGTGGTTTGATACTCTGATGGTCAGGTCTAAATGTCTTTGAGTGATGTTTTAGTTATAGAGACTTGGTTGCCTTTGCCTTGCTGCTGTTTTCTGACTGTTCCCCATATGTGATGAGATTTTATTCTTGGAATCAGAGGAGATTCAGTGACCTGAAGAAGTTATCTTTGCAATTACTGAGTCAAAACCAAATTGAAAATAGGAAAGCATCATAATGACAATCTCAATCCCTGAAGTATTTGGTCTGGATTTTAAAGAGAAGTATCAGTGTATGGGTATAGTGTGTCCTGAGCAGATGCCTCTTAAGACTTAGAAGCACTTTTGAAGTATCATCTAGATGCTGAACTGAATTTACTCAGGCAGTTATTTTGAAAACTCTGAAAGGCTGAAGAGGTGTATGTAAAACCAACAATGATTTTGGTATATATGATACGGTTTACTTTGTAATGCTGTAGCTTTCTTCCTAAATTCAGCTCCTTCCTTTTGCCTTATTTAAATCTACGTGGAGTAAAAACAGAACCAAAAAGGGAATGGGGAACAATTGTATCATTTAACTAATCCTCTCCAGCAATTTTAGTACAAGTTATCAATATCAATAGTGATCTGTAGATAATGCCAATTGTTCTTCAGACATTAATTGTGCTAAAGCTTTGTGGCAGTTAATATTAAAACTAATATTAGTTTAAATCCTTAATTGCATTTAAACATAGATTTGCTTATGAAACAAACAGCTGCACCTTTTCCATCATCTTTATTAATCTGCCATTTGAAATATGCAGCAGAGATTTCTGCACCAGCCAGTTATCAAAAGTTATGCATATGTAATCACACTATCTTTAATTATTTGTTTTCCATTAAATTAGCTTCTGTGATCTCTGAGACAAGAGTGACAAAAACTATGCATATCTGTCTTTGCAGATAGTATTATTTGCATTAATAATTAACACAATAGATTAATCAAATAGTGACAGTTTGTGGGTGAATTACACAGCAGATCCATCATCATTACACTTCTGAGTGTATGATTGGGACAGAAATTTGGCTGTTAGCCATCACAGTGACATGGCTTAACTAATGTGATCAGTCTTGAACCAGACTGAGTCAAAATTTTATTTCCCTGGGGAATAGAAGCCCTAAGGTATGTTCTAGCCAGTTGATATGATAAATTATTAAATACTTTTTGTGACAACAAGGGATGACAAATATGCTATTTTGAACCCTTCACAAAGATTTAAGGAGGTGCTTGTTCATTTTTTCCTTCTTTGAGTTTTTCCATTAATGTATCATTTTCTGTTAATGTTTTCCATCCTTTTTCCAAGATAGTGAGTGCTACTTCCAGTAAAATGATCTCCATGACAGGGAAGCCAGCTCTTCTGGAAGTGCCATTTTGTTGACTCAGACATTGCCACTAACATTTGCAAAATTCAGGCCTGGTAAAAGCTGAATGTCTTCCTACTGTTAAATAAAGAAGAAAAATTATGAAAAGGACCTGTACTGCAAGAGTACAATATATGTATTGCATGTACGGAAGTTAATGTACAGGGCAGGAGGTATCCTGCCACTTTATATCAAAAAAGTGAAAGTTAAGCCACTTTCCATTACAAGTGTAGCATTTCTATCTGAAAAACAGGTTCCATGCAACTGGGAAGATGATTTCAAGAGCAGAGTGAATGAGAAGGTTAGTACTGGGAGCTGTGAGGGATAGGAGAAAACAAGGAAGCCAGAGGATGATAGAAAGTCACTTGGTTTGGGATAGTGGCAGCGCTAATAGAAGTTGGAAGAATGTGGAAGGTAGGGTTTGCTAACCAGAGGGAAAGGATGTAGGCAACAATAACGGAAAGGGGAGTAAGAGACAATGGTGGTGTTGTGGAAGTTGAAATAGAACAGCCTATGCAAAGCGCCCACGAAAACAATGTATTGCCTTATGATACCTATAGTGATTGATTTACAGGAGTAATAAGGGTTTCTTTTTCTTAACTAACCTTAAAATTTAATATTTCCCTCATGTTGAGAATCCTGTATTTCTTATTAAGTTGTGTACTTTATCACTCTGTGTCTTGCCTTTAGGCCCACCCAGCTTCTTGCGGATGAGATGGCTACTGACCAGTTGTAAATCTTTTTATCCTTCTGCTTAGGAAGGGATGACCTCTCTATCTAGTAACATTCAGAGGACTGAAGCAGGAAGCAAATGTATTGTTGGAAGATCACATCCTTCTGGTTCTATCACTATTTTACAGACAATAAGAACATCAAGATTGCAAAAAATCAGTTGGTACAGTCAGCAAAATAAAAAAAAACTGTTTGTGGGTTGGTTGTTTTGCAGGTTTTTCAACCATTCATACAGGCTTATAGTTTTCATTAGAAGGTCTTTAATATCATTTAAGGTCATTGAGTTGTGACTGTAATCTGTTAATGAAAACTGACAGTTCTGAAAAAATGAAAGTAACATAGAAACCTGGAACGTAGAAGGCAGTAGTACACAGAAAAATATAAGTACAAAAAACTAGATAAAATGTTCTTGGTTAGTAGATGGAACTGAATGACCACTGAGTTGCATCAAGTGCCACTGCAAGTTGAACAACTGTACTGTCCATAGTGGGGTGTTGCTAATATACTGGTTTACCACAGTTTAAAAATCCTGGGAAATGTGCAGGATTGCATCTGTAATAGTTCTTTTTAAGTATTTTTTATTCTTGATCTATCTTACTTCTGGTCATAACCGATGTGAAAGCTTCTGACCAGGAAATTCATATCCAGAGATTATCAAGTAATTATCAAGCTATTAGCTGTTTTTGCTTACAATTTCCAGTATTAAAAAGGAAAAAAAAAAGTATCTTTGCTCTTTCATTCTCTCAGTATTTGTCATTTTGGCAGACTTTGTCCTCAAATTTATTATGAATAATTATTCTTTGAGTGTATTCAGGTAATAATGTACTGCCTAGGAAAAAGCCAATTCCTGATCTTTCCAAACACTGAATACTGCTTAACTAATAATCTCTATAATGTGTTTTTTTTAAAGTTAGCACCATGAAATTGCTGCAAGTATAATGACATGGAATTTCATTGTATTATTTAATTCTGAAAGAGAAAAAAAGATGTTTTATATAGTTTAAACTTTCTCATTTCTAAATAGGAAAATGTAATAGATTCGTTGCACTGTGTTGAAATGTGTTCATTGTATAAACAATTATTTTGTTTTAAAAACAGGTTCAGGAGACTCTCAAACTCTTCAGCAAAGGTATATGCCATTTAGAACTTGTAAAATTTCATCATCCTTCTAGATGCAAATGAAGAAATATAACCTACACAAAGTCTCCTACAGTCTGTAAAATGTGATAGATCAAGTGAAGATCTTGATAGCTGAAGAGTTTGAGACTCTGCTAGCTTTTGTAAGACTTAATCTACTTGGGGAAAAGTGAGGTCAAAAAATATCACTAGATATCTGTGCTTCCTTGTATGATGTGCTGACTGCATTGTCAGTCTTCATTCCTTTGATAAAAAGAGACAAACCATTAAATGTCTTTCTAACTGCAGTCCAAATAATACTGTTGTGTAGGAAAAGTATATAAAAGGAATATATGGACAAGCAGATAGTTAAACATGAATTGCTACTGTAAGACAAATAAGATTACTGAAAATTACTTGAATGTCTGAAAGTAGTTGCTGTAATGAAGGATAATTATGATATAAAAATCAAAATTGGAACTGCAGTGATTGAAAATTTGTTCAACAGGTACATGGAGATGCTGGCCATTTGGTTGTTTCATTTTGCTATTAGATTCTGGTAATTTCCTCAACACGCTTGGAAAGAGATCATTTAGTGTGACAAAATGAAAAATCTATCATCATCACATTAAACATTGCATTATCTAATGCTGAAAGCTATATCAGATTTTAGGAAATAGAAAATTTTGTATCTGATTTTATATCTGATTTTAGTGTCTGTGTCTACTGGTCCCTTTTTAACCCGTGCCTAACTTTCCTTTCAGATACTGGAGCCTGAAAGAATATATAGAATTTTCGAAACAAGAAGTGTGAAACAAGTCCTTCTACTACTCAGGCCCCTGCCTGTGCGACATGATGTAGGTCATTTAACCATTTTGTCTCTGTTTTTTCCTTTGTAGACAATGAAAATGTACTATTTTCTGTATTTTTAAGAAGGCTTTGTTTGGATTAAATTCCCTAACAATCATGATGAAAACTTTAATTTTACAATTGAAATTAATTTAGTACATAAAAAATGTTTGGAAAAGAAATGTTAAATGAAACCTTACTTTTTGGCTAAAACTACTAGTTAGATTTATAATATTTTTACAAATAATTGCAGCTGACCTAAGCCTGAGGTATGTGAGACTGCTTGTTGTTACTTTTTTTGCATTGTTACTTCATGGATTTACAATGTTTTAAGCGTTTACCTAGTAAATGTTCTTACTGGCTTCCGTTCTGTGATCTTGTGTGGTTTAAATAATTTAATTTTTTTGGAGCTGTCAAATTATTATTTCAGTTTTTAAGTCCCAGTGATCTGGAAGGATCTATTCACCAGTGCATCCAGGAAAAAAGTGATCTCATAGGAAAGAAATCAACAAATTCCAATATATAAGATATACAGAATATGGGGAGAAATGAAACAGAGTCCTTGAAAGAAAAGAAATATTTAATTCTCTCTATGAATCAGTAAAGTCTTACAAGTTTCGGTTCAGCATCCGTGTTAACACAGTATTAGCAGAGAATTGGTCTTGCAAATATTGTCTTTCAACTGATCTGTGTTACAGTATGATTAATATACATTCATGGTAACTTAAGGAAGCAGGTAATAGAATTTTCAGAGGAATTTCTTGGTGACCTAGGTTGGTAGAACTCTGCAAAAAGACAGGGCATAAATGTTTAAGACAAAAAGAGGTGAATGTATTTGGAATCCTGAGTAGCTCATATTTGAAAGCAGTTACCACAACATGTGCTAGGAAAGTCATTCACTTAAGGGCCTCGCTGTAATAAAATAGCAACTGGGGTCAGTATGTGAATTTATTTGTAACTTGTTTTTTAGTATAACTTTGGTTGTTTTCCATCCATTAACATTCGTGCAGATATATTTTAATCTAATTTTTATCTTCATTCTTACATTAATACTGTAGGAACTTTGGGATTTGGGATTCCTCTAGAGTGGGTGTAAGCATTTTCTACCATGTGAGAATCTTGCTGTTAAGCATGAACTAACCTTGAGTATGCTTGTATTCTTTTTGATTAGTGCCTTTTCCTCTTTCTTATTCCTTCTTCTGTTGCAGGAGGCCCTATATCCACCCAATTTTGCTTTTACCTTGCCCAATGTGCACTAGCCTCCCAAAGGAATGAACTTGAAATCTTTGTTGCTTATTTACTAGTCGTTCTTTTAAAAGAATTTTAAGTTTAGATTTGTCACATCGGTCATTATTCTTTTTTAAGCATTTTTAGTTATTTCTTTCTCTGTTTTTCAGCTGGAAAGGTAGTTATGAAAAGAACCTTATTAATTAAATTTTGAGATAGTTATGAAAATTTACTTCCTTTCATAAATATAATCCTTTTTTTTTATTTAATACAGATGTAAAATGCATTATGTCAATACAGCTGTATTTGCAGCTCTCATCTGTTTCAAAATTTCTAAGAATTAACTCTGGGGTTTTATTGTAAATACGTCTTTAATAATATTAGCTATCTTTCTAAATGTGGCTGTATTTCTTATAAAAGTGTAATGCCTAGATGAGACTCCTTCTTCTGCATCACTACAGTTTAAAATGGCTAATTAATGGTTTTGTTGTGTATTAACATTATTTTTAAAATGTACAAAATATTTTATAACCGTGATTTCACAGAGCACTGGTAATGCAAGTTGCTCATAGTCTTTACAGACACTCTTTTTAGCAATACTTTAAACAGCCTGTCATTTTCCAAAAGCCCCTTAATATGTCTTCAATGTCTTAGATTCGCAATGTGCACATTTTGTGTGGTTCAGTCACCTGTGTAAATAACAGCTTTCTCAGAACTGAAATGAGCAAATAATTAAGTACTAACAGTTTTGCATAGTCAATATTTTAGTCAAACGAAGTTTTGACAAGTTTACAGAAATGTTTGAGTTTTAGACTCAAAAACATGAAACATGAAGAGACTAAAGTACAAACAGTATCCAACAAATGCTCTTACTTTTTTCAACTTTTGTTTTGTTACTAGGCCTACAACATCTTGCTTATCACTGTACTATCTTAGTATCTAAGCAAATTGATATTTCTCTCTCACTACATTCTTTCAAAGGTCATAGTTTACGTTATTAGTTATTTATTTAATATGACATCTGTATCAGGTTATACATTCTATGTTGTTTTTTTTCCTGAAAGCAGGAGAATTCATAGTTTTTCCAACTTCCCAGGGCTAAATTGACAAATATGGGCCAGGTAGATTAAGAACTCTTCATCATTGTTTGTTGGGAGTTTAAAAACAAATCTAACTAAACAAACCAAATAAAAAGCCTTCCCAAACCCCTCCGAAGCCCCACAGTAATTGTCTTTACATTTTCAGCTTCACTGTTCTTGAAGATGGAAGTTCAATATCATAGGAGGTTGTGTTCATAGTTGTGCTAACCTGATCTTTTTTTTATCATGTGAGCTTGTACACTTGAGATATTTGAAAAGAAAAAACTGAAAACTGAAATTTAACCATATTCAATAGGAAATCAACTATATGAGTAGAGTAATGTATTCTTGGTGACCTGTGTTGCTAAGAAACAAACTGCTGTCTTGTCAATTGATTAAGTCCTTCTTTTCTGAGTGTTTTTACTGGAGGGTCCATTGCAATGTCCTACTCAGGCTCAGATGTTGCACATCCAATAACCAAGAGGTCAAGTTAGTCTCTACTTCATTCCTAACATCAGTCTTGCTTCATCTCAACTAAAATCACTCAGACATCTCTCAGTGAACATCTCGTATAAAGTTCCAGTTACTAGTACTGAATTTGCCTGGTGCAAGTTGGGTTAGAACACACATGAGCACATAGCGCATTTCTGTTATATTAGCCGGTGCATACAAAAAAGGATTTTTAACAACGTTTTGTTTTCATATTTGATTATTAATATATGGTCACATAAAAAGTCTGCCATGAGAAAGTTATCCTGTCAGCATTGTTTGAACAAATTTAAACCAATGAAGTAATTTTGTATAGGATATATTCTATGTGTTGTAGTACTGCAAGCTTTTGCTGAAGTACAAGAAATCGTATGGCTAGATTTACTGCTTAAGTTCTTTTTACCTATACTTACTGAAGAGTATTTCTAAAATAGAACCTCCTTATTCAGCTACAAATCTGATAGGTTTGTTTTCTCTTGTTTCACACTTTGTCTTAATTACTGTGATTTCCCTTTTATGAACTTCGAAAAATATAGCCTTCTTCCATAGTATTTATATAAAATGTTGCTGCAGTGTGTAGTTTGTCACCATCTTGTTTCCATATCCACCTTTAAACTTGTTCCCAGACCTTTCACTTTGGACCCCCAGTGCTCCCTCCCTTTCTGTGCTAACCATTATTGGCCACTTGTTGAATTTTCAAATGGTATTTTTTTTACTTTCTCTTATGTTGTATTTCCCACTTGATAGGAATTTATATAAACATTCAGTAATGCCCTTATATCCCATGGCTTCTTGCTGTGACTTTTGCTCCTTGTGCTCACTAAGACAAGAACAGAGTTTCAGGAGTGTCCAAACTATGTAGGGAATGTCTTTAATAGAGTGAAGATCTTCACTGCTTTTATTTTTAGCCTTCAATGACCTGTAGAAAATAGCTTTAAATAACAGATTTTCCTCTGGGATATACCCTAAACCTGGAGATCACATATGTCTTTGGATGCTGTGGTAACTGCAGCTGTGTTGTCAAGGAAACAGCCTTGTACTCAGTAGGCAAAACCAATGAGGATTAAGCAAGGCTATATTATAGCTAAGTCCCTGTGACCTTATCAGGGATCAAGATCTGTCTGTTCTCCAGTGTGCAGGTGTCGCTCAGGAGTGAGGGTGATATGCACAGGCAAAAACATATGTGCAGTATGCCTGGTGTAAGTATCAGACCTGGATTATTCTAAGAAGTGAATTCATTTCCCAGTTAGATGGATTAAAAGACTCCATTTGTGTAAGTAAAATCTTTATATGAAATTAAATAATAGAAAAGTTTCTCTGTAATCTATGAAATGAGGAAGAGAATTGAAGTATTATGAACTCTGTAAGTCTTTTTAATCTTTGTTGAAAATTCACACAAAAATATACCAATATCAAAATACCTTAATTTCTGAGGGATAACAAACAAAGTTTATAGAACCCTGAGATGCAGAATAGTTGTCAACTGTTTCCAGCACGGCGTTCTTCTTCAGTAGTAAGAAATAATTAATGTGTCACTAAAGTACACTGCAACATAGATGTATTATTTCATCCCAGATTTTTGTATCTAAAAGAATGAAAATCCAAATGGAAGTGAGATAAATTAATGCAAGAGAAAAAGCCTAATTGCTGGGTGGAGTAGAAAGTTGAAAAAGTTATTTAAATTGCTCTTAGAAGTTAATTGTTTTCTGCTTAAACTTTAAATTATTTTTACCTTTTGTTTCTAAAGCAAAATAGAATGTTACACATTAGTTAAAGCTTTATAACAAATAAGAATGAGTGAAGGAGCAACTAAATTCAACACGCTTTGGCAGAGTCCCTGAAGTTTATTGTGGTTTTCTTTTTTATATTGTCACGTAACATCAAAAGTGATTTAATGTCTTTCTTAATTAGCCCTTGTTAATCTAAGTGTATCAGCTGTTATATTTTTCTTTTTTCAGTATCTCTTATGTTACAGCCCTATTTAAGAAAAATTAAAAATCAATGTTAGTTTGTCTGCAGATAATGCCAGACGAACCTTTTTTAATAGTGGTACTGTCCATGTACTGAGAAGGGAGCAACTGAAGCAAACTGTGAAATGAGACACATCTGATTAGGATAATGATTTGACTTCTAACATTATCTTGCAATATATTTTCTTTCTTAATGGGTTTTTTCCTTTCAGAGGTTAATCTAAACCTACCAAACCCAATAGATTTTGTTAATTTTGATTACTATTTTCTACCATCCCACTGATTTTTTTTTTCCGTTTTGCATTTCATTCTTTTTTATACCTGATTATTTAAAATAATCAGGTGGGGGTTTTTCCCAAAATTACTGTCTTTACCATTTCATCAAAGTTACAGAAAAATTCTGTGTATGAGATGCTTCTTACTACAGAGAGTTCAGGCATTTTGCACCATGTTTAAAGCCATTATAGAAAACTTGAAATTGACCTGATTTCATTGCTTCGTTTCTGAAGCACTGTCCTAAGATATTTCTATCAGAACATTAGGGGATTAAATAAAGCAAGAGGACAGTGAAAAATTGACCACTTCTGTGAGTTGAATATGATGTCAGCCTTCTTAACTATGCAAAATAGACAACTACGCAATGACACGTAAATAACTACGCAATAGAAGAGTTAGAGATGAGACCGCATTCAATACTTAAATATTTAATGCATAAATATTTAAGAACATAACAACATCAAAGTTGTTACAATACATGCAGCAGTTAGCTTAAAAGACTGTGACTTAAGTCCTTGGAGAAACATCCGCTATGATCCAAACATGCTTAGAGTAACAGAGCATTAATTTGCAAAGTAAAGGGATTAGGAAACATGTTGTACCTTCCCAAAATATTCTCATTCCCATTTCTTCTTTTATTATTAATTTATTACTTTCAATTTGCTGGTCATGTACAGAGCGGAATACTTTTCATAATTTATTATCTCCATCTCGATCTTCTTCTCCTCCTTGCATTTTTTTTCTAATTTTGTACCAATAAATCTGTCCTTATTTTCTCTTGGTCCATCCTGTATTAGAGCTCACTAGTATGAATAACCTTAGCCATTTATTACTGATTTAGAAAACAAAAAGTGGAATCCAGCTTCTTTTTTTCTTTAAATCAACTTTAACAGTGTTAGATGCCTGCAAGCTATCTACTACCCTGACACTTTGTAGGAAAATCTGTAATCCTGAACAATAATCATAGCAGCAGCAGTCTCACCAGTTGTCTTGTTTGTGGACAGAGGCAGATCAGCCTTTCCCAGCTCATGGAGTGAGTTGGGTGAATCCAGGACATGTCACCTCCCCTGTGCATGTGCTGTGTAACTGATCCATGAGTGCATAACAAGTCTTAAGATACTTCTGATGCTGTTGATTTACAGCAGGCCATCTGTACATGGCCCAAAACCATGTGTCCAGGTGTTCCAACCTGTTTAATACATACCTTTTCTTCCACTGGAAATGCTGGCAAATGTGATTTTCTTGTTTGATTTTAAATTACTGGTAGAACTTTGGCCTCTCTATTTTAAATACCTTGTCCCATAGACATTTAATTCATTTGGTCAAATTCAGACATGAATTCAGGAGTAGTCATTGGAAACATATTACTGTAAAGTCAGATTAATTCTGTAATATTATGGAGGAAACCGGAACTAGACCTACAGTACTCCACTCATGTCTGATTTTTCTTCCTCTTTCATCTTATATATCTATTGACAGTGCTGTAAAATACAAGAACAGTTACACCAAATCAGAATGTTCACATTTGTCATATATTGACAACAA